GGATACACAGCAGGAGATTTTGGTTGGGGGAGTAAAATGGGGAGGGAGTTTTGAAATTTCAAAAAAAAAGCAGCAACAGGTTGTTACAATCCCCTAGTGGGACACACAAGTTTATTTATGGAAACGGGGTTAGTGAGGACAATCTTAATAACAAACAGCGGACATGGCCCCTGATTTTCCCCTGTGACGCCAGCAGGGGTTATCATAACAGATGAGATAACCTGAGATAACCGAGGCCTCGAGGAGACAGCCAGGGGCTTCTGAGCAGCTTTCTAAAACTCCTGTTCAGGGCTGCCTGGGAGATGCAGGCAGGGCCTGGGAACCTGCAATTCTGGAAATGCTCCCTGGCGCCGGGAGCCTGGGTGGGTGCCCCCCTGGAGGTTGCACAGCAAGCAGGGAGCCCAGGTTTTCTAAGCAGTTCTCAATGGGGCGATTTGGCCCCCAGTGGGCATTTGGCAAGTCTGGAGACATTTCTGGTTGTCATGACTATGGGGTGTTCCTGGCATCTAGTGGGTAGAGGCCAAGGATGCTGCTCAGCATCCCTCAGTGCACAGGACAGTCTCCACCACAAAGAATTATTCGGCCCCAAATGTCAGTCATGCCGAGGGTTAGAAACTGCAATCTAAGCTTGCTTAGTGAGGACCTGCTGCCCTGCCCGAGCCCTCAAATCCAGCGGTGTGCTGACCAAGAGCACCACCCCTTGTGCTGCACCTGTGGGTCCTCCCAAACCTCTCCCGAAGCCCCCTTGGTGCCCGCCCTAGTTTCCAGGGCACCATTCACCCCGTCTAGGGTAGGTGCTGGGGCTGGGAGGCTTGTCTTTCCCCATGAAGGGTGGCATTTGGTCTGCCAGCCTGGCTGACGTGGGCCGGAGTTGGGGGGACAGTGGGAGTGGGTTGTAGATTCTTAGCTAAGCAGCTTGCACCGCCCTAGAACCAGCTACCATGGCAACCCCGACAATGGGTCAGCGTGGTAACCCTGGCAACCTCAGCCAGTCTGGGACTTGGCAACATTCTTTAACGGTGGTGGGGATATTCCTAGGTGCACAAACAGTCCTCTGAGGGCGACATGACCAGTTCCGAACCTGTCCACCAGCCCCCTGTGTGAGCTGGCTGGCCCACTCTGGGTACTCGTGCATTCTAGGAGACTTCATCCATCAAGGCAGGCCGGGGGCAGGCTGCTCCGGAGGGGCTGGTACCTCGGACATCGTGTCCACCTCTCCAGCTTTGAGGTCCCTGTAACCTGCCCTCAGCCACCCCTGCAGCCTTCTGTGTCTCTAGTAACACTTCTTGTCTTAAAGTCTATCCTGTCTGATGTTAGTACAGTAACTCCAGCTCTCTTCTGGCTACTGCTTGTGTGGAATATCTTTTTCTATCCTTTAACTTCCAACCTATTTGTCTTTGAATCAGTGTGTCTCTCGGAGACAGCATATAGTTAGATGATCTCTGCTTTTTGTGCGTGTGGTAAAACACACATAACAATACTAAAGTGAACAATTCGGTGGCAGTTGGTACATTCACAGGTTTGTGCAGCCGTCACCACTATCTAGTTCCAGAACATTTTCATCGCCCCAGAAAAAAACCCATACCCACCAGCACTCAATTTCCAGCCCCCAGCAACTGACATTTTCTGTTGCTACGGACTTGCCTATTCTGGGCGTTGTCTATGAACAGAATCATGCAGTGTGGTTCTCTGTGCCCGGCTGCTTCCACTGAGCATGAAGATTTATGGCTCACACAGTGTCGCTTTGCCTCTCGCCTGCATCAGCCCATCTCGGCCAGAACAGAAGTCCAGCTCTGTGCTAAGCAGTTCCCATGCTTTATCTTGTTTGGTTTTAATTGTTGTAACACTCCTGGGAGGAGGAGGCCGTGGCCATCCCTCACCCCTTCCAGGGGGTAAGTGGCATCTCAGCACCCACAATCCTATGCCTTCCAACTGCCCACTCGGCCCAAGTTGGCACTGGCTCCCCATTTTCTAACTCTGTGACCTCGAATGGGTTACTTAACCTCTCTGTGCCTCCATTTCCTCATCTGTAAGCGTGGGATAATGACAGCACCTGCCTCTTAGAGTCGTTAAGAAGATTAAAGGAGTGAACAGATGGAGCATCCAGCTCACCTGGCATGCAGTGAGCACTTGTTCTCAAGATCATTCCCCTGGGGAGGGAGCCAGTGGAGGAGTGAGGGTGAAGGGGACAGTGAGGAGAAGAGGCGCAAGGCCCAGGAAAGTCACGCTGGTGGACTCTGCTCTGTGCTTCTCATGGCCTACAGAGTCTCTGAGTTCTAGGAAGGGATCTTGCGTTGTCTGTTTCTGTCACCTCTACAAACGCCTGCACCAGGGTTCCCACCTTTTTCAGCCCCCAGGTTGGACGTCAAGCCTGGTGGCCCCTGTGTATTGATAGCTTTGGGGTGCCTGCCAGTCCAGGCAGTGGGAATGGGCCCCCAGGAGCTCTAATTCTTAGGCATGACCCTGCCTGCCTGGCCAGGAGTGGACACCTGACCCCAGGTGTGCCATCTCATTCTCTTACCCAAAAATTATAACCAGAAGACCTGGAGACTGGCAGCTGGAAGCTGAGACAAGTTAAGGGCTGTTTTTAAGATGCAGGAGATCTGCGAACACTTCCTCCCTTTGAGGCCTGCCCACCCACTTCTTCCTTGGTGCCAATGAGAAACCCCAGCATCCTTCAAATAATACACTGCTTTTGTTTAAAAAGAGCCTCAACCCAGGAATTCCCTAGTGGTCCAGTGGTTAAGACTGGGTGCTTTCACTGCAGGGAGCCCAGGTTCAATCCCTGGTTTGGGAACTACAATCCTGCAAGCTGCACGGCGAGGCCAAAAAAAAAAGAGTCTCAAGCCAAATGCCCAGCAACAGGTGAATGGTTAAACCCAATGTGGTCTGTCCCTACAACAGAATACTATTCAGCATAAAAGGGAGTGAAGCACAGACACAGGCTACAATGTGGATGAACCTGGGAAACATGACGCTCAGTGAGAGAAGCCAGACACAAAAAGCCATATATTGTATGATTCTATTTATATGAAATGCCCAGAACTGGTAAATCTTTAGAGCCAGAAAGCAGATTAGCATTGTTGGGGTGGAGGGAGGAGGAGTGGGGAGTGATGAGGACACAGGGTTTCCTTTTGGAGCCATGGAAATGGTTTAGAAGGGGATAGAGGTGGTGCCTGCACTACATTATCAATGTACCAAATGGTACCCAGCTGTTCACTTCATGTTATGTGACTTGCACCTCAATTTAAATAAGAGGAGTGTTAAGCTAAGACATCCTGGAATGACTCCTCTGTGTGATGGATGTTCTCTGTTGCCCCCACACATCCATCCTCTGCCCCTACTCAGTGCCCTCAGAGGCTGACCCACAGGCACTGTGCTCTCCACACCCCTGGCACTCTGACTTCTGGCCCTCTTGTTTGGCCAATGGGAGGAAGGGAGCAGAGAGAGGCTGGGGTATTTATTCTTCAAAATCCAACTCTTCCCCAAGGCTACAGCTCCTGATGGATAACTGTGTGCTGGGTGGGGAGGCAGGGGAGCAAGAGTTCCAAGGTGGGTCCTGAATCAGAAGGCCTCAGCTCATCCCTGTTCCCCGGTCACTGGCTGCTGCACCCGCAGCAAATCAATGACATTTCTTTTCTTTTTTTTTTTAAATTGGAGTATAGTTGCTTTACAATGTTGTGTTAGTTTCTGCTGTACAATAAAGTAAATCAGCTATATGTATACATATATCCCCTCCCTCTTGGACCTCCCTCGCTCCCATCCCACCTATCTAGGTCATCAAAGAGCACTGAGCTGAGCTCCCTGTGCTATACAGCAGGTTCCCACTAGCTACCTATTTTACACATGGTAGTGTACTTATGTCAATCCTAATCTCCCACTTCGTCCCACCCTCCCCTTCCCCCCCCACACCCACATGTCTGTTCTCTACATCTGCGTCTCTATTCCTGCCCTGCAAATAAGTTTGTCTGTACCATTTTTCTAGATTCCACATATATGTGTTAATCTGTGATATTTGTTTTTCTCTTTCTTACTTCACTCTGTATGACAGAGTCTAGGTCCATCCACATCTCTACAAATGACCCAATTTTGTTCCTTTTTATGGATGAGTAATATTCCATTGTATATATGTACAATATCTTCTTTATCCATTCACCTGTCGATGGACATTTAGGTTGCTTCCACATCCTGGCTATTGTAAACAGTGCTGCAGTGAACATTGGTGTGCATGTGCCTTTTTGAATTATGGTTTTCTCAGAGTATATGCCCAGTAGTGGGATTGCTGGGTCATATGGTAGTTCTGTTTTCTGAGTGTCAGTTTCCTCATCTACAGGTCCTCAATTATCTTTTTTTCATTGAGGTGAGATTCACATAACATACCATTTGAGGGCTTCCCTGGTGGCGCAGTGGTTGAGAGTCCGCCTGCCGATACAGGGGACACGGGTTCGTGCCCTGGTCCAGGAAGATCCCACATGCTGTGGAGCGGCTAGGCCCGTGAGCCATGGCCGCTGAGCCTGCGCGTCCGGACCCTGTGCTCCGCAACGGGAGAGGCCACAACAGTGAGAGGCCCACGTACCGCAAACAACCAAACAAACAAACAAACAAAAACAACCATTTGAAAGTGTATAGTTCAGTAGCATTTACTGCTTTCATAGTACTGTGCTCTATTTAGTTCTAAAACCTCATAACCACCCGAAAAGGAAACCCTGTAACCACTAAGCAGTCCTTCCCCATTTCCTCTCCTTCCAGCCCCTGGCAACCACCCATCTGCTTTAGGTCTCTACGAATGTGCCCACTGTGGACATTTCACACAGTGTATGGCCTTCTTTCCTCTACACTGATGAAGGATGGAAACTTGGAGCTTGGGTTCTGCCTGAGTCCAAAGCCGAATTCCTCTCCTGGTTAAGGGCAGGGCCCTTCATCTGGGGCACCAGGTAAGGGTGAACAGCCTGGCAGGAGAGCCAAGGGGGCAGGCAGCTTCTGGAGTCCAGGCGGCTTACCTTGGCCATGGCTTCCTCGTTGCCCTCCACTATCTTCCGGAGCTTTATCAGGTTCCATAAGTCCTGGGTGGGCTGGCCAGTGCCCTGGCTGCCCTCCAGCAGCTGGGAGGTGGAGGGCAGTTCCTGCAGCACGGCCAGCTGGCTCTCCATCTTGTCCACACGGCTCACCAGGTGGTTGAAGACGTTGCCGAGCCTCTTCATGGGGTTAAGGATGGGCTGGGAGTCTCCTTCCCGGGGCATGAACATGGCTGGCAAGGTATGGAGGAAGTCCTCTTCCCCCGAGAGGACCTTCTCAAGGTCAGCCATGTGGATGTGCTCCAGGATACCCTGGAGCATGAGGTGCAGGGCCTTGAAGTTCACCACCCCTCACTGTGGGATGGCGATGTTGACCAGCTCTGAGAATGTGAGCGAGAAGCTCATTCTGCCGGGGCTAGGGGCCGGCTGGGCTGGCCTTTTGGGAGTCCGTGGGGACAAACGGTGGCTTTCAGTGGACCCGCAAGCTGTATGGACAGGTCCTCAGGGGCCCAGAGAGCCTGCAAGTCACAGTGGTCAGGGAGAAAATGGCCTCTCTCCCGGCCGGAGCTCAGATGAGTTTCCGGTTGCTAGGACACCAGAGAATGTGGGCAAATGGGCAAGCTTCTGAGAGCCTGGGGTGGGCAGAGCAGCTGCTCAGTTAATTGTTGAGGAATGTTCCAACAGACCAACAGGCTGCCTTTTAATTCAAGCCCTTCAGTTTTGTAAGACCAATGACCCCTTCCAAGAAGCGTGCAGGGGGCGTGATGGAGAGACAGCTCACTCCTCGGAAGCCTCCAGAATCAGGACAGAAGACAGAGTTCTTGGAGTTAGGAAACCCCAGCTTCCCATAATGGAAGCCCAATGAACCGGGCGGATGTAAATTTGCTAGCGGATCCCAAATTTCTCCTTGTCTAACCAACAGGAATTTGTATTGGAACAGACACTTCTTGCAGCATCGGTGTAAATACCACATAAATACCACGGGTCAAGTACACAGCTCATGACTGGCCTCCACAAAAAAGTCAATGGGGTCTCTAGGG